AGCAAAAGCAAGCGCTCCTCGACCTGAAAAGTCGTAACGGTGCGCCTGGCATTCAGCGATCCCCCACCCGAGATGCCTGATCCAGCAAGATATCACTTAGAGGCATGCCATGTGGAGGAATTTCTGCGCCGAGTCGACTTGCAGGATGCTCTAGCCAGTTCATGTTGGACTCGACAAACGCCAGGAAGCACTCCTTGTTCAGCCCATTCCGAAGGCAGTAGGAGGACACTGCTTGGGCAAAGGGCCTTGGGGCCAAAAAGCGGATTTGCATGTCGGGCCGTGAAGCGAGTTCTCGATGGGTCCAGCTGTCATTCTGCATGTCGGTCAATCTAGCCTTGATCATTGTAGCGACGGACAGAGCAGCCGACAAACAAGTCGGTCTCCCACCTCAGATCAGAAGTCCAAAGCAGGTGAGACAAGCAAGGATAGAATAGCATGTGGCCCCCCGAACCATGCAGCTGAAAGACGTGGCCAGGTGCAGGTCCCGGTCCGTGCCTGCTGGAGGAGCTTTTCAGTTGGATCGCGTCCCAAGGCGTCGCGTTTGGAGGCAGCGTCCTGAAAAGCAAAGCCAAAGTCCTGGTCCACAGCTTCGTGGACCTGAAGGGGATGGACATGCACAGCAGGGCCAACCTCCGACATGTATACAAAAAAAGCCCGCCTGCGACGCTCCCTGCGATGCCGGCATCCCGGTTTGGGTCGAGTCGCCGGGTTCATAGTCCTGCCAAATGCCAAGCATTTGCATAATTACGCAGGGACAGGGAGATGGTGAGCATACTTTGCTGGCTGGCAAAGCAACAAAAGCACCCTGCCTGCTGCGACTTCGAGCTTTGAGATGGCTGGCTTGGCTCATCCGGCTGTGTTGGTGCTGGAGCAGCTGGAGCAGAGGCCTTCTGTGCGTCGATGGCACCTACCTGCCGTGGCATGTTCTGGGGCCGGATCTGCGCTGGAGCTCGCACTGCTTTCGGTCGTCCTGAGCGGGGTGTTGCTGGATAAAGGAAGTGTCCAGGGCGACGAAGGCCTCTTCCAGAGTCTAAGGCCGAGGACAGGATCGATTGCACAGCCGGTGTCTGCGAGTGACCTAGCAGCAAGGCTGTGGAACAGGCATCGCTCAGACGACGTACAAGTTGTGGATCCTGCGGCTTCCATATTCCCTGCACACCCGCGATGTCCGGAATCGGGTTTTCCAAGACGACAGAGGCCTCGATGGGGTAGACAAAGTCACCGAAGCTTTGCGAGCACCAGAAATGGCTGACGTCGGTGGCCCTGGCGACACTGCCCAGCTTAACCAAGCCCACGATGGCGCTGCGAAGCAAAGTCTCTGCCGCTGGGAGAGTAGTGTGCTCTGACACCTTCTCGAGAGCCTCCAGGGCGTCGGCATCCGTGAGCACCTGCTTTCCGACGTGGAGGCCATACCATCCAGGCTTCCAGGTCTTGACCGTGCGTGTCTCGCAGGGTTTGTGGCCACGCAGCATACACCAGGCCATGAGTGGACCTTGTACAGTGAACACTGGCTGGTTGAGCTTGATGGTCGGAGCGGACACTGGGGTAGCAGCCATGGGCGAAGGCCTTGCCTAAGGACGGGACCTGGTGGACACGGACAGACTGGCTGAGTTCGAGCAACTTACAGCAACAGAGGACTGAATGTAAGGCACATGCATGGGAGCTTGCATGCATCATGTCCGGCTTGTAAATGCTACTTGTTAGTTTGGCGCGAACCAGCAGACTGAGAGGGAGAAGACACTACCGAGCATGTTTGTCTTTCCATCCGTCTGAAGTCACCGCGCCCCCATGGCATACAAGTCTGCCCACTTGTGCAAAAGTCTTCCCAGAGGCTGTTCCCCCAGGGCACACAGTGGTGTTGAGGATTCAGGATCCACGTTTCGAAAAGGATTTCGGACTTCACACCAGAGTAGCGTGGAGATTGCCTTATAAATCCACTTCCAATGCAGGCAGAGTGACTCGAACTCCCTTTGCTTACAGTCGCCCGGCAAGTGATTTGTGCAAAGGGGAATAGCCCGAAGCTTTGGATCGCTAGCCGCTAGCGTACAACCTGAGTCGTACGCCTTAAGCTAGTGGCGGAGCTTGTTCTTGACTGAGCCGCAAAGTTGCGTGTTAGGCGGAGCACTGAAAAGGTTTGAAGTGATCTGGGCAGCAGCTTCGGGTGGTTGTAAAATGGCCTGAAAAGCAGTTCCATTCTGCAGTACTCATAGCTCCTATCCCGACACCCAAGGAATTGGACTAGGTATCGAGGTCTGTTCGCACATACTAGTTTTTCCCCCCATGTAAACGCTCGATTCGACAAGCACTCGGTCGAGACACACATCGTTGAGATGAGAACACATCAAGATCAGTCATTCCCCATGTAGACGCTCGATTCGACAAGCACTCGCTGGGGACACACATCCTTGGCATCCCAAAACTCGAGGAATGCTACCGCCCGCCGCAACCCCAAACGTACTCGTAGGAGCCAGGTTTGCCGGAACGGCAGCAAGGAAGACGCAAGGAAGAGCATGCGGCAATGAGCATGTGTGCTCGGCGAGGCTGGACTCCCTAAATCTAATTATAATTGGAGCCCAGGCAAGGACTGCTGCTGCTACGGAAATGGTTGGTACTTTTTCAAGCTCGAAAAGCTGCCCGACAGCAAGGTGTTGCAACCACCTCCGACCTTCTCAGGTGGGCGAAAATGGGCACGGGCTTCCTAGCTACAATTCCTTGCGGCAGTCACTGCTAACCACCTCCGACCTCCTCAGGTGGGCGAAGCTGAGCAGACGCACGGGTTTCCTAGCTACAATTCCTCGCGGCATTCACTGCCAGTCCCGTGTTGCTCCGAATGCTAAACCCCTACAAAATCCTCAAGACCCTGCTCATAAAGTATGGAACCTTTATAAGAACGAACCCAAGACAACCCTTATACAAAACCCGCACGAAACCCGGAAAACCCTCAAAACTGCTAGAATATGATTACACCCTGAACTCTTTAAGTTGGAGGCCTCATGCCGCCCTATAACGAAGAGTTGACATACCTCTGACCTGTATATATTCAGAACCGGTCTGGGGCTGTCTGCGATTATGGGGGCCTTCTTCTTACTATAAGAGCGGGCACTGGCACAGTAATGTATGACAAGTGTGTAGGGACATCGTATTTAATAACTGAGACCTTCATGCTGCATCCTCCGAGCGCCTCAAAAACCTAAACCCTGAAACCCCCCCCAACCCCATGCAAAATTGAAATCTAGCGAATCGCTTCCACCAAGTTACCCAGCCCTGCTTTCAAGGTGACAGCTGGCTGCAATTAAGGTCTCGGGTTGCGGGTTTTGGCCTTGGTTGACTTACCTTCATAGGGATTGTAGTCCATTGTGAAGTTTCTGATTACCACATCTCTACCGTATCGGGTTTAGGGTTTCTCGATTCATCTAGACATCATAGTAAGGATTGGCGAATCCATTTTGTGGACGGTTGATCCGTTTAACTGCAACCTGTAACTTGCAGCCCGAGATACTGTATGGCCGGTGTCGGCAAGGCATTCGTTTACTGTTCGGCCAAGGTGGTGTCGAACTTGCCCTTTTTCTCGGCTCGTGAGGTAGCCGCAGCGGAATCCTAAAGCTTAATGTCCAGCCACACGAACTGCTGAGCGCTGAGCTCCATGAGGGTGCGAATAGGCAATGGGCGGGTCGTAGAATTTGGGGATAGGACCCACGCAAGCCATCGTCGCAGCGGAATGGCTTAAGCTCCTCTACAGAAAACGGAAATCTGTTCATGTTTGCAGGTAGACGAATGTAATGCTCTTCGCAGCCTTCGACGGCCAACAAGTTCGGCGCCAGAGTCGAGGCGCCCGACGGGGAGACAGTCCGTGATTTGCACTTCTCCCAGCAACATGGTGTCCCGGGCACCACGGAGCAAATCACTGGCCTTCAAGAGACTAGCATGGCACTTTAAGAATCGTGCAAGAGGCCAAGTGCTAAGAGAGGACTGCCGGCAGGAAGTGCTCGGCCGGCCGTCAGCTGGCAAAAGCCAAGAAGTCTTGGCCACGGCACACGGAGTCCGGAACTGATGGCCCGGGACCAGAGCTGGCGCTGCTAGGAGCACTAGCCGTGCCGGACACCGTAGACGGATAGCGAGGCAAAGGTCTGGGCAGGCTCTGCCATTGCACTGGCAAGGCAGTGGGAGATAGACCCAGCACATCGTCAAAAAACAACTCTCACCCCGTCCACGATGACTTGAGCGGCATCGCGACGTGCAGTGCTTGATATGAGCCATGTCCTGGTCGCTTCTATCAGGTCACGCAAGCGCCGTGCATCGTCTCGACTTGCTTGGAGGTCCTGATGCAAAGCCTTGATCACAGCTTGTAGACCGCGCCGGGCACTTTCACTGCATGGTCGAGCTCTGCTCCCTGCAGCAGACGGATGGTGCTCCCGGCCGCGCCTTAAACACTAAACCCATCTAAACCCCATAGACCCTAACCCTAAACCCTCAACTGACCTAAACAGTGGGTTTACGGTTCAGGGTTAGGGCTTAGTGTTTAAGATTAACCACAGACCTGCTGATGCCTGCAAGCCCAGCCCGCAAGAAAACGTCAGATATCATCCATGACTGCAGAAGCATCGGCACCTGTCTCTGAAGAACCACTGGAAGTACAGTACTGGCAACGGGCAGCGGGTGTAGCGTAGCCACATATCGTCGGAACAAAAAACCATTCGCAGTGCCACCGCCATTATGTCCACGCACGACCACAATAAGGACCAGCCCCAGCCCAGCACCACTCGAAGGACGCCCGCAAGAAACGTCAATCATCTTGATCCCTAGACCCGGAATCCTAGCTCAACCCCCCTAAACCCTAAATCCTACACCCTAAAACCTAAAACCCAAGACCCTAAAACCCTAAACCCTAAAACCCTAAACCCTAAATCCTAAACCCTAAAACCCCAAATCCTAAACCCTGAAGCCTAAACCCTAAACCCTAAACCCTGAAGCCTAAGCCACCTTCACTCTAGGATGCCGGCTGCAGGACTGGACCGTAGCTCTCGCGAGGAGGCCGCTCTTCTGCCTAGCTCTGGAGACTTACTCAAAACTTGGCTTCCTTGGTTTAGGGTTTAGGGTTTAGGGTTTACGGTTTAGGGTTTAGGGTTTAGTAGAAGTCCCTACCTATAGGGTCATAACCTACCCCTATTTTAGGGTACCTACTTTTTAATATAACAGATCCTATCCATAAAACTAGGTACCTCAGGGTATGACCCTTAGGTAAACCCTAAACCCTAAACTGCTTAAGGGTTGAGTAAGGATACCAAGCATTACTCAGGGCTGAGAGGTTCGGGTCCAGAGCTAGGGCGGTTATGGAAGGGCCGCTGGTTCCGGGCTATTGGACGTAGAGGCTTCAGGGTTTGGGGTTCAGGCTTTAGGGTTTTAGGGTTTAGGGTTTAGGGTTTAGGGTTTAGGGTTCAGGGTTTAGGGTTTAGGAGTTAGTGCTTGGGTTAGGATTTAGGGTTCAGACGTCAACACCTCAAAGCGTGTGCCTCAACCCCTAAAGAATGAAACCAAACCCTGTATAAACCCTAATTACACCCAAAATATCCCAAAACTCTACATCATGAACCCACGACCCTGAACTCCGAACCATGAATCTCACAACCGTAAACCCTTCTACGCCCCAAAAGGTGGAACCTCAACCCCTCAAAGGCTCCCAACACCCCAAACCAAACAGCCTGCGCCTGAGTCTCAAAAGTCACGAAAGGCAGAATGCCTTCCGGAAGCCCTGCACCCTACACCGAAAGCATCCCAAGGGCAAAGCCCTAAGCCCTGAACTGTAAACCCTAAATCAAAAACCCTAAATTCCTAAACCCTATCCCAGATCACTAATAAACCCTGAACCCCACATACTAAACCTAAGCCCTAAGACCCTAAACCCAAATCCCAAACTCTGAACCGCAAATACTAAACCCTAAATCCTAAACCTAAGCCCTAAAACCCTAAACCCAGATCCCGAACCCTGAAACGCAAATACTAAACAACACATACTAGACCTAAGCCCTAAAACCCTAAACCGAGATCCCAACCCTTGAACCCCAAATACTAAACCCTGAAGCCTAAATCCTAGACCCTCAGCCCTGAAGCCCTTAACCCAGATACCAACCCCCTGAACCGCAAATCTCTAAATCCCAGACCCTCAACCCTAAACCCTAAACCCTAAACCCTAAACCCTAAACCCTAAACCCTAAACCCTAAACCCTAAACCCCAGCCCTGACGCCCCAAACCGAGATGAACCGTAGCCTTGTCCACCGGCAAGGAGAGACTCGGATCCTCAGTCGCAGGCTTTTCTTCAACTTGTGAGTTTTAGGGTTTTAGGGCTTTAGGGTTAGAGTTTAGGGTTTAGGGTTTAGGGCTTTAGGGCTTAAGTATTTTGAGTTTTTGGGTTCAACAGTTTAGGGTTTAGGGTTAAGGTCTCAGAATTTTGGGTTTGGGGTATAGGCTCGTTGGTTTTCGGGGTGGCTGAAGATACAGCAGTGACCAGAAAACTGAAAACGGAGAGGTTAGGCTTCAATGAATAGGGTTTAGTGTTTAGGGTTTAGGGTTTAATTAGGGATTCAAGGTTTACAGCTTACTTGTCCGATTTCCTAGGGGGACGAAAGGTTGCCCTTTGGCAGTATGTACAGATGATGCTACCCCCCCCCCAAAAAAAAAAAAACTCAACCCTAAACCCCAAAAGGGCTAAAGGTCACAGACTCCACTCAGTTAGTCCCAAACCCAGAAACCCGTGGGTTGAGAGTGGCGGGTTTCAGCCTGATGTCTGCTGACCAGGGTTCGGGTATGAGCACTCAGGACTCCTGGTTCCGGGTTACGCAGCCCTGATGTTTTGGTTGATCAACAAGTCTTTTGAAGTTTTCTTACGGGCTTTGCAAGCGTTTCCAGTGGGTCCTTGCCGTGGCTGTTGGGGATTTAGTCAGGATGCAGATTTCGACCTTGGGCGCCGCTCAAAAGCTCAAGGGACCTTCCTGTAGTGAGAGATATGCAACAAGCGAGATTCGGCTAGATGGAAATCGTAGAGGGTTTAGGGCTTAGGGCTCCTGTCTTGCGATTTTGCAGTCTGACGATGCAGGGCTGTGGTAAGAGGTTCTATAACAGCCAAGGTTTTCTCAGGCAGTGAAACTGGCAAAGTTTCTTTGTGCTGGAATTCGCGGGCGAGATCTTGGGATATTCGGGCTTTTTGCTGCGTGTCCGGGGCGGAAGATTGGTAAGGGCCTGGGGCGAAAAAAGGTTGAGGATCCTAAGCCAGTTTTCGGTGTGCCCATGTCCCCTGCAGGGTCGCAAATGTGATGCGACATCCGTGTAACAGCTGGGTTGGACGGCGAGTTAGACAGCGTTTTAGGTTATATTCTACACAGAACCCGAATGCAGCTTCATGGCTCTTTGTGAGTAGGGTTTTAGGTTCAGGCGTTTTTGCCCGAACAAGTTCGAACCCCATTGCATGTATAACTTCCCTCTGCAAAGAGCTGACGCCTCTAAGTCGAATCGGAGTCTAATCTAAACCCCCAGGCCCTAAACCGAATCGGAATCTAAACCTAAAGCCCGAAGCAATCGAGGATGTACCTTAGGACCCGGCCAGAGGGCCTGTCGACAGCCCACCTCACCGACTGGGCTCTTCTTGCCAAGGAGCTTAGCCTAAGTTGTCTTAATACGGATCTTTCCTTCATGTCAAGGAACTGAAGTAGTGTCGGTTGCCATAACCAGGAAACCATGTTATTTAGATGCTGACTACTATAGATCTTTATTATGGTAACTTGAGTTGGGCCAATAGTTCTCCGTTGAGGGCTCAGGGTGCTGCGGTCCATCTCAGCCCTAGAGGACGCATGTGAGTGGGGCTCCTGATTATGATAGGGCTGTCGGCGTTAAGGCAGAACTTTGGGGATGTAGTTTTGGGGCCTTAAAAATTAGAATAGCTTTTGGGGTGAAATTATACTATAATTATAGTATAAGCAACCCCAAGATATTGTTGGTAATTATTTGAACTCCTATATTCATCTTTGAGGCAGATTTCAGAGTTGCAGGTGTGGGCTTCAGCAGTAGTAGTCGTCGTCGTCGTAGTAGTAGTAGTAGCAGTAGTAGGAGGAGGAGGAGGAGTAGCAGTAGCAGCAGCAGCAGCAGCAGCAGCAGCAGCAGCAGCAGCAGCAGGAGGAGGAGGAGGAGGAGGAGTAGTAGTAGTAGTAGTAAGAGTAGTAGCGATGGTAGTGATAGTAGTACGGGTAGTGGCTGTTGTTGTGGCTGTTGTTGTTGTAGTAGCAAAATGCGCCAGAGGAGGAGGAGGAGGCGGAGGAGGAGGAGGAGGACGAGGACGAGGACGAGGACGAGGACGAGGACGAGGACGAGGACGAGGACGAGGACGAGGACGAGGACGAGCAGCAGCAGAAGCAGCAGCAGCAGCAGCAGCAGCAGCAGCAGCAACGGTGGTACTGGTGTCACTAGTAATAAGACTCTTCGTATTGGAGTAACCCACACTAACTTTAAAATATACAATCAAGGCGGCACAGATTGCTTGAATGTTCGTGGATACGGATACTCCTACGGTATCTAGGGTCACAACACAAGCATTTGCACGCAAGAGCCCGAAAGCTGAGACGCGTGGGCCCGAGGCTGATGGGAAAATGTCGAACCCCAGCCCCAACCCAAAGATTTTGTGACGAGCAGCATTCCCATGTCAAGATGCTCATCACCCTGCGTGTATCTACCCATGAACCTCCCAGTGCGCCACCCCTAAACCCTAAACCTTAAACCCTGAACTAAACCCTACCTACACCCTAAACCTTAAAACCCTACACCCTAAACCCCAAAAAACCTTTAACGCTAAACCCTACACCCTAATCCCGAAACGCGGGCCCGGCCTCGGTGGTAGAAGCGCCTTCCGAACTTGTCGATCTCCATGAGGTAGTAGACCTTAGGGTTTAGGGTTTTAAGTTTTAGGGTTTGGGTTTCAGAGCGGCCTAGGGTTTCGGGTTTAGGGTGTAGGTTTTAAGGTTTAGGTTTTAGGTTTCGAGCGGCTTAGGGTTTAGGGTTTAGGGATACAGCGCTCTGCCAAGGCTCGCTACTCCCCGTATGCTTGCGTTAAGGACCAAATGCCCTTTAAAAGTAGGGGCAAAATGCCCTTCTTCTATGGATCTGTCTATGGTCTATGAACCCTAAACCCTTCTAGGATTCATTTCGTCTTTATAGGTGCTCCGTCGCCGATAGCGGCAATGATGGTGAGGACGATGATGACGACGGTGATGATGATGGTGCTTGCACTGCTGGTGGCAACCATGGCTGGCGATATGCATTATCGCTGTCGTCGCCTGCATCGGCAAGCTCGCTTGCAATCGGAATCCAAAACGTCCTTGTCGTGGAAGCATCTGCCACTTCTGGCACACATGTAGAACCTTAACCTCTAAAGCCCATGCCTGAACTCTCAATCCAGAACCCCAGAAAGAAGAGTTTAACTCTACTGCATGAACAAGCTTTGGGAAAGTGACTATGTAGCAGTTTCCGGCGCTTCCAAGCCAATTAATCTATCAGCCGATTTTAGAAACCGCTGTAACCGGAACTGTTAAATGCTAGATCTTCAAACCCTTTGGTCTCTAAACCTTAAACCTTAAATCCTTCAACCCTTCTCTAGACCTGAAAACCGTGAACCCCACCCTACACCTTAAACCCTACTGAGCCGTGAATTCTCAAACTCGAACCGTAAACTCCAAACCCTTAACCTTAACCCCTGAACCCTAAACCTTAAGCCCAAAGCTCCAAACCTTGATCTTCTAAACCACCCTAAACCCTAAGCCCTAAACCCAAACCTTACACCCTAAAAATTAACCAACCCTCCCAAGTCTGTGGCATCCTCCTCGTACTTCCACAGGGAGATCTTTGCGTTCCTGCGGCAAACGGCGGTGCAAGAGGCCCAAAGGGTCCAAGTACTGGTATAGTATATAGTTTTGGGGCCCAAATACCGATTAAGTACCCACTATACCCTAAGGCTCAACATGGCCCTAAAGCCTTATGGAGTATCGTTTTGGGGCGCAGAAGCCTTAATATATGAGTCCTTAGAGCCTTAGGGATAATGGTAGTTGGACCCTTTGGGAGGATTGAAAGTCTCTCGGGCCTCTTGAGGTTTTGGGGCTCCGGGTGCAGGGTCTATAGAGGTGCTGTAAGGCTTTAAGGATTTCGGTGGGGGTTTAGGGTTTAGGGTTTAGGGTGGTTTGTGGTTTAGGGTTTAGGGTTTAGGGTGGTTTAGGGTTTAGGGTTTAGGGTCTGGGCTAACTACCTGGGTTGAGTATTCAGGGCTAGGAGCTTTAGGTTAGGAGTCTGCGTCGAGTGGTTCGTCGGGACACCTCACTGCCATGGACCTAATCAAGTTCATGTCTCATGCTTCTAGAAAACCCGTAAAGTCTAAACCCCGAAACCTGACACCGCCAAAACCAAACACTGCACCGCTGCACCCATGAACCTACCAACCCTTAACCCCTGTTCCCCCATGGGTCTACGATGGCAGTCGCAATTTTACACCCAGGGTATCAGTGAGTTGTCAAACCTTCTTCCGTCTTCTGGGTCTGATTGCCTTCTCGCGCACTCACATCTCTGCGTCGCAACGGGTCTGTAAGACTGACATATCAATGTGTCATCCTGAACTCTTATCTCAGAAGCCACAAAGCCCAAGGAAGAAGCAGCGGGTCTGCTGAAGAATGAACACGACAACAGTCATGCATCGTCCTCCTGCCGGTTGGTTTGTAGTCAAACTTCATCCAGGTCCTTGGCGGAACAGGGGATCAGAGCGTTCACAAACAGAACTCTGGGATTCAATCAACTATCCAAGCCAGTAAACCCCTGAACCCTGAAAGCCCTATAACATAAACCCCTGAAGACCCTGAAAACCATAGAAACCCTGAGCCCTGAAAATACTACAAACCCATAAACCTGAAATCCCTATAAACCCTGAACCCTGAAAGCCCTATAACCCCTGAAACCTGAAATCCCTATAAACCCTGAACCCTGAAAACCCTATAAACCCAGAACTTGAACTCCCTCTAAACCCAGAGCCCTGAAAACCTTGTAAACCCTAAACCTCGAAAGCCCTATAATCTCTATACCCCTCGAGTTCCATCACACCCTGACACTCTTCTCGTCACGGGTCGGGAGTCGCGTAAAGAACCCTACTGTCGATGATAGAATTCCTGCATTACCTTAAGGGGACCCTATACTATGGGAATAGTGGTATATTCCTCATTATGGGGGCCCAAAATCCCAAAACCCGAAACCCTATATTCCTTATTAATTATGGGTAATGCAGGATATATATATACATATATATATATATATATATCATCAACCCTACCAGACCATCGGCCTGAAGACCGCAAAAGCTCGAACCGAAACCCTGCCGTGGCCCTGAAATTCTAGGGTTCAGGGATGAGGGTGTTAGGGTGTGAGGGTTTAGGGTTTTAGGGTTTAGGGTTCAAGGGTTTAGGGTTGAGGGTTTTAGGGCTTTGGGTTTTAGGGCTTATAAGGGCTTAGGGTGCTTTGGATGTCAGGACAAACGAGGGTCCAAGTACCAATTTAGTTGGTAACTACATGATATTTCGGCCGCAAAGGTATTAGCACTAGTCTGTACAATTACTTGGACCTTTTGGGCAAGCGCCCTACTCCTGAAATGATGGTGCACTGTATTCATTTCGGATGACGGATTCTGAGCAGCACTCTAGCCTGATCGTGAAAGATTACTGCGCTTCGCGCGCAAAACTTCATCGCGATTGAATGACAACTTCGTGATGCAGCATTTTCACAACAACCAACTGTGCTTCAACATCTTGGCATATGTCGAAACCCAAAGCGCAGAAGGGAACGCACCAGCACCAGGACGCTGGACCTAAACCGTCTAAACCTAAACCCTGAAACCCTAAGCAAGCCCTCAACCCCCTAAACCCAATGCCCCAAGCCCCTGAACCCCCTAAACCCCTGAATCTAAAACCCGAAACCCTAAACCCTCAACTCTAAACCCCAAACCCAACACCCTAAACCCTCAACTCTAAACCCTAAATCCTAAACCCTAAAACCCCGAATCCTTGAGTTGCCGGCTCGATGTAGATGTTATGCAGCGGCATCGAAGCTTCTGGCGTCATCTGCCGTCGGAAGCATCTTCGAGTTGAGCTGTTTTCGGAGAGAGAGAGAGAGAGATGTGTGTGTATATATATATATATATATTATGTATAGATATATATATATATATTATTTATTTATTTATTTATTTATTTATGGTTTAGGAGTTTAGGGGTTTACGCGGTTCACGGCTTAAGGTTTAGGGTGCAGCTAAGGGCCAGTCTTACTGGTGTGCGGGATCGCGGCTTTTCGTTGGTTCAAGTTTTGATTGCGTATTTGGGACTTCCAAGGCATCTTTTCAACGTTTAGCTTCGCTCCGGCCCGGTTTCTACAAGGGTTACTGGAAGAATCTCTCCCTAAATCCCTAGACCCCACATAGCAAACCCTAGACCCTGAACCCTTTCGCTCTAACGGCTTCTGCCAGGGTTTGGAGTAGTTCCTCGCGGATGGCGTCGCATCACGCGGTTCGCGCATAGCTGGCCCACATCAACTGGCAGAGAAGCCCACGTACCTATAGAGTCCCCGACAGAACGGGCTTATACAAATCTGCACACTAATCATTCTTTGTTTGTAGAATCGCATGTTGTTATGGGGCTGTCCACCAGGAGTTCATAATAATTAGAATTTGACATGTGCCTAGTGGGGTTTCAAGATCGAGGCTCATTGGCAGCTATTAGCTGGGATACAAAATCAAATGTGTTTTCAATGTTTTCTGGTGAAACATGCTTGGGGACATATTTACAGCTATCTTACTTCTAGTATACTTTGAGCTTGGTGTCTCAGAAAGGCTTGTTGACATGCAAGTGGCACTGCAAACCACGGGATCGGAACGGTGTAGTTGCAGTTTGGGGCCTTGCTCGATTCGAAAGTCCGAGGTATGGCTGCTGCCAGGACGGCAGCACAAATTTAGGTGATTGTGCCTGAGAAGATCATTGTCAATAAAGCTCGAACAAACAACTGAGACAGCTAAACCCAATCACATACGGCTGGACGATATCTCCCTTGACCGAAACCAGCAGAAACTGGGACATCAGTGCCAACTCCATGGCCTTCAACGAAGCCTAACCCAGGCCCCCAAAAGCAACACTGAAATCGCTCAAGACAGATGTGCCGGTCCAAGGCTTAGTTGGGGATTCGTAGCTCCAACCTTGATGGCATTGCGATAGAACTGGATCTTCCAGATCTCCATTGGGTCGTAGAAGGGCACGTCGTCTATCTGCGTGATGGTTCCGGGCACACCGATTTAAAGCCAGATAGGGCCTGTAGCCGCCTCCTGTATTTCGGAACTGCCCGACAAAAAAAAAGGAGAAACCGCTTGTATGCAGGCAGTAAATAGCGGCAGTTTGGTGTTTAGGGGTAGAGGGATGTAGCATCACATCAATGTCCCTGTCAAGGAGTTGCTCATACTCGTCCAGAAATTAACCCTAAACCCCCCACTGAGCCGTAAACCTCGGAAGCAACCCAGGCACCGAAGCAGTGGAATGTAGGGGCCTTTGTACCTAGAATACGGTTTTGAGGGCTCCTTATTACTTGTAGTATAATATACTCCCCCAAGCCCTGTTCTAACTACTAAGGCCCCTATATTACAGCCTCCATTGTAGATCTTACGGGTTCAAGGCTTTTCGGTTTTAGGGTTTAGGGTTCAGGTTAAACTTGTTGATGCAAGATCCCCCGATTGCGTCAGGGCCGAGTACTTTCCAATGCCCAATTATCCATTGAAGAATGTGCTACTACTAGGTTTCAAACCGGGATAATGACCTACTCTACAAGACAGGGTAGTGACATCTATTACTTATTAAACGGGCCGCTACAGAAAGGTTCACAGGTACTTTTAATTAGACTCGGCTAGAAAGCCTTACTCAAAGATATGGGCCTTAGGGTAGAAGTCTAGCTTCCAAAGCCACGAAGTCTCAAGGCCGAAAATCCGGAACTCACGAACTCCAAAATCCTGGACCCCCAAAGCACCCGAACAAAAAAAAACACTACATACCCTACAACTCCTATAAACCCATGCCAGGACATCCTCACGTCCGAGACATTTTATCAACTCCTAAAGCTCTGTAGGAGCCGCGCCCGCATCTGGTACATGCTCGCCTGGATGTCTTACTTTTCGGAGTGTGTGTGACATCTGCCGTGGAAGCGGGTGAGGGTTTTAGGCTGTGGCTGTGGGGTTCGGGGTTCAGGGATCTGGGTTGAGGGTTGAGAGCTTTTGGGTAGGAGGTAGGACTTCGGATTTGGGGTGCAGGATGCCTTGCATCTTCTACCGGTGTTTTATCATTACAGGCCTCTGTTGTGACGTCCTACAATGACGAAGGTTCCCCTCCCCATACTTGTGGACCGTCGTATCCTCCCATGCTGAACCTGCTGTAGGGGCCTTAATCATTAGAATAGGGTTTTTTGGGACCCATGATACTATAATTGTGACAAGGAACACCCAAAATAGTATTGGCAATTACTTACGCTCCTACATTACACCTCTGCGGCTGACAGCTCAAAGATTCTGGGTTCAGCAAGGGTGCAGGGTGCTTCTGACATTCAAGCTTTGGGCGGGTTCGTCCGGCACGGTTTTCACGGTCCGGTCTATATACTAGGCCATAAACCTCAAACCCCGAACACGAAACCACTAAAGCTCTAAACTCGATGAATCCTAAACGCCGACTCCCAACCAGCCTCCAGCCCAAGCCTCCAATACTCATGAAGGATCGTAATAGCGCCGCAAAATTGGAGTAGGTAAGCGCTTAAGGGTGCGATAGGGATAACCATACAAACCCTGAGCCTTAAACCCTATACACGGGAGTTACTTGGAGGCCCAGGGGACTTAGTAAGTACGTTATAAGTAGAGTTATAAGTACCCTAAATGGAGTTACCCGAATTATAACCCTACTTATAACCGACTTACTAAGTCCCCTGGGCCTCCAAGTACTGGAAGGGTTGATATGGCGGCCAAAAGTCTGTTAGACTGGGGTTTCCGGGGATTTATAAGGTTTAGTATACGAGTTACTAGTAGGGTTTGAGATGGAGGCCTTAGTAATGAGAAGGGTGTGGGGGTTTAAGTATAGAATAATCAGGAATGGGTTTCCGTTTGAGGGTGCTTTTAGGGTTACTGTAAGGGGTACAATAAGGGTTTGAGATGGTGGGCCTTAATGATTCGACTATAGGGTTTGTATCTTAGAAAAGCAAAATAACAACAAGGAACCCAAAGCAAAGCGTTACCAATAACCATAGTAGAGTATAGTATAAAAAAGTTACAACAAGTAACCCTAATCAGCAGAGCATTACCAATGCCTCAGGCTACTCTATTAAGGCATTCGGTTCTGCCTCTGGACCTGATACGGTTTCGGGCCAAATCGTAAGCCTGAGGTCCATGTATATGCATCGTTCTTATATGCATATTAGTACGGATGGATCCTGCTGATGATCCTTGTTAAGATATGAGGTACCTAAATGAATGGTCAGCGATATAACCCGGGCTCGAGGGTCTTTGGACGGCAAAACGGTTTGCTGCTTCGGGGCTTTTTGGCCGGTAGGGTGATGGCGGTTTCGAAGTAGGGGCAGAGACAACCATCGCAGGAACATGGCTGAAACAGTCACTGGATGACTTAAAGACTTTTCAAAAGCCTGTGAAGCTACTGTGGAGATCGAACATTACGATAGAGTGGATGTTAACTTGAAAGACCAGGGGACTTGATACGTAGGCTTTATGTGAGGTTTCAACAGCTCAAACTGCACACAGTAGTTGGGCTGCCGCATCTACAAAATATCTAAACCACAAAACCCCCCGCCCCGAACTGTACGTAATGAAGCTGCCGCATCTACAATACAAAAGCCCTATACAACCCAAAGTACCGAAATCTAACAGTTTCGGTAGTTTAAGGTAGGGGTTTAAGGTTTAGGAAGTTGGGCCTCCTGCCGGCCAGGAAAGGGCAGAAGCCGGGAACCCGACAGCGCAGCCGGAGCCATAAGTGAACACGAGGAGGATCTTCCCAAGGGCCTTCACGGAACGCTTTTGAGGTAATACCTACAGTCTCCACTGTAGTTCTTTTTTTTGGGGTTACCTCATAGGACCCTAATTATAAACTTGGTGAAAACCCAAAAAAAGAACTGCAATGTAGACTATAGGTAGGATTGGGGTTTAGGGTTCAGGCTTGGTTAAAGTTTACGTTTTGGGGTCTAGGGTAAGACTGTAGGTTCGTATATAAAGATTACAAGTAAGTAGGTGGACCCTTTGGCATTGCTAGGGTCTTGGGGCGTAGGGCTCAGTCCTGAGACTGCAGGGGTGCTTAGTCTAGAGCTTATAGGATTCATGAAGACCCTAAACCCTAAACCCTAAACCCCTAAACCCTAAACCCTAAACCCTAAATCCGCGATGGAAAGCTTTGGGGCTTGAGGGCGTAGGCTTTCCCTCTTAATTCGCACGTGAAGTGCAAACTTCGCATCGCCGTCCAGCCTTCTCCATCAAGTTCATGACCACAGAAGCGGTATTGAGAAAGGACCTCGATGCTGCAAGCCAGCTGCTAATATAGGGGCCTCCATATTTCGAGTCGGTTTGTGGAGGAAATTCTACTAGAATTCTATTCGCGAACACCCAAATTTGTATAGGTAAGTACTGAGGCACCTATATTAGCTAGATGTCGATCGACTGACTCAGGGCTTATATGCCCTGGAAGCTCTCAGTATCAGTTTTGATCACATCGAACTAAAACACAACACTCTAAGTCTCTAAGGACTCTTTTTTTTTGGCTTTTGGGCCCAAAGACCATACTATAAAACCCTAAACCCTAAAAAAGTGCAGGGCTCGGCGAGTTTCTGGCTTTGGGGCTTCAACTCATGCGGGCTCGGGTGTAAGCTTTTACCTAGACCCTAAAGAACTTACCTTTTCAAGAACTTATATAATTTAGAGTTTAGGGTTTAGGGTTTAGGTTTAGGGTTTAGGGTTTAGGGTTAATATAAGAGATTCATCATAAGGAGCCCGAAAACTACCTCGGATTGACTACAAGTATTGATACTACCCTATATTATACCCTTATGTAGAACCCTTATAGAACCCAACTAGGAGGTAGTCTTTCGGTTTCGCCGCGCCCGTGATGTTTTAAGTTCGTTCCAGTTCTGTGGCTTCTCATCCTGTCTCCTGCAGGCCAGCCCGGGTTTTGCAGCTTAGGGCCTTAGGGCGTGCCTTTAACGGACAGAGCCTGTCTTGTTGTAGGTTCTTGTTCCAAGCCCCCATATAGAATTGATATGAATTTATAGAAAACCATGCGATAAAAGGAGGTTCTGGTAATGCAGGGGCCTAAATCATTACCAATACTAGTCCGGGCGTTCCTCTTCATAAATTTATTTCAGTAGGCCCCCAAACCTTAGCCTATTCCAAGCATTAAGGCCCCGAATATAGAAGCCTTTTCTAGATCCCTTATAGAACTCTTTATAGATCTCTTTAAAGGAACCACCAACTCTAAAAAAATAAGGCTCCTATACTAGGTTGGGGTGGTGTGTCGGGAGCTCAGCCTACGGCTTAGCGCCTTCAAAGTCGAGGTGTGTGACTTAAGAGCTGAGATTTCGAGTTTGCGGTTTGGGGTTTAGGGCTTTGAGTTTAGACGTTTAGGGTTACAAAAGGGTTTAGAGTCTAGGGTGTAGAGGCTTAGGGTTTAAAGGGTTTAGAGGTTTAGGGTGTAGAGTTTGGGGTTTTAGGATTTAGGGTTTAGGGCTTAGAGGTTAGGGGTGTGTTGGGGTTTCGGGTTTAGGGTTTAGAGGTTTAAGGTGTAGGGGTTTAGGGTTTGGGTTTGACGGTTTAGGCTTGGAGTTTGGGGTTTAGGGAGTACCTTAACCACGAATGACCTACCCGTGTAAGGCCATATATAAGGAGGTCATAAGGAATCCTAGAAACAAGTAGGGTTCAGTTAGGGTGTAGGCTTTAGGGGGACCTTCAACTCCCCAGGAGCCTTTCAAAATCATGTCATGTAGAAACCCGGTGCCTGACACAAAGGGCACCACTTTAAGCTTCATGGGTGTAGGGCTTGGGGAGTTGAAAATTTGATTTTGTCAGCAAGGTAGCTGAAGAACCAACTAGTGACAAGATGCACTCCCAGCTACGAGAGTTCTAACCCTGTTTCCCAACACGACCCCATAACCCCTACTTAGAGGCCCAGGGGACTTAGTAATTCGGTTATAAGTAGGGTTATCATTGGGGTAACTCCATTTAGGTTACTTATAACTCTACTTATAACCTACTTACTAAGTCCCCTGGGCCTCCAAGTAGGCCTAGACCGTAAACCCTGCTTCTCAACACGACCCCATAAGCACTCTGTAGACGCCCCACAGAGACCTTCGTGAAGCTCCGCAGTTACGGACACAAGCCGTAGCCAAACCTCCAAGAACGAAAAGCTGAACCAGCATGACCTACTTTTCGTAATTAGGTTTCTTATTGGAAGTTCCAGGCACCCTCAGATGAAGTAGAGTGCGTTGGCTCATTGGCACTGCTGCTTCTAAAACCAATAGCCTATAGCCCGATATTGTAGAAGCCTGAATAATTACCAATACATAGTATCTGGGGGTTCCTTACTATAACTACAATTATGGTATAATATACCCCACCCTATGCTAATTATGAAGCCCCTACATTAGACACCATGTGGTGCCCAGCACCCTTCGAAAGTGTAACTGGGCTCTCCGGAACAGGGGATCCGGCGAGACAGTGTGACAGGGCCCAATGATTTTCAACAAGGTCACCTGCAGAGCAAGGAGCCGCTTGGGTTTAGGGTTTAGGGTTTAGGAGCCGCTTGGGTTTAGGGTTTAGAGTGTAGGGTGTGAAGTGCAGGGAATCCCCGGAGACTCGAATGCTTGAAACCCTGGGCCCTGAGCCTTAGCCTTTGAGGATTAAAGAGGTCAAAGAAGGGTTTAGGGTTTAGGGGTTTAGGGTTTAGGGTTTAGGGTTTAGGGTGTCTCGGTTGTTTGGCTGGGCAAGCATGGCGTGAAATGGCCCCGGCGAGATCGCGACACGGGCTCTCAATAAGGAGCCACCCAGAATCACTGTCCAGTGTAGTGTCTAAGGTTTGCAAGGAAAGCAAATAAGTTGGTAGAACTGACTACCGAAAAGAAGCCCTGATGGACCCTGAACCCTAAACCCTTCAATGTGAAATGTTTCGGTGATCACGGTCTGGGCGGGTTTTGGGCTTGGGGCGTCCTCGGCATTCGCCGGCTTTCTTCGAAAATGGAGTTGGGTTTAGGGTTTAGGGTTTAGGGTTTAGGTTTAGGGACACCCAAACGAAAACCCATGAGCAATCCCTGTGATATTCTAGCAGGGCTTGTTGGGTGTGGAGGGGGTCGGAAGGGTTGGTCGGAAAGCATCCTATGGCATAGTCTGAAAAGATCAGGAAGCCTACTCCTGCTGCTGCACGTCCATCACAACCCTGATGTCACAGATGTCTATTCAAAGCACGCATATGTTGGACAACACGAACTTGGCCGTTTGTCTCCTTAGTTTATGATCCTAAATTAAACCCTCAAACAAGAGAAATCTCTGTGGCCCAGGCTGAGGGAAGCAGCTTCTCAACTAGCAGGCGCTCCTCTTGTGGGGCCAGGATAATAAATTTAGGCAAGGATGAGAGCCGGGTTAAAAACCTGGTTCTCTGTTGGGACTATATTAAGAACGATCATTGTTAAACCTTATCGGGTTTTCTGATAACAAAAGCGCAAAATGCTATCCCACAAGGACCCAGACACCTTCAACCCTAAACCCAAGGCTGCAGCCCTAAAGACTATAAGGGGCACCCTAAGAAATGGTACTGTAATTGTTCCGAGTCCAAAAATATACGATCATGAGGCTGTAAAACGTGTCGTGTACTTAGGTTTAGGACGAACAGGGCGCATCAAGGGGCTGTGCGGTTTGCACAGAGTTCATTCTATTGGTTTAAGAGCTTTCAGGGATGAATGGCCAGTCGTAGGTGTGATAATCGGTACCTGAATCGTGGTTGCAGCCAATCACAACTTGACTTGCCTTTACAAAGAACGGTTTACAAGCCTCCGAAGTCTAGGCTTTCGAAGCTGAGGTTTTCAAGTTACAGGGCCTAGCATTTGAGGTTGCGAACATGGTCGTGGACCCAGGCTATCGGGTTCCGGAAAATGCGGTAACTTACTGCTTCAAACATCCGGACTGTAGACAACTAGAATTAAAAGGAGGTCAGCGCGATAGTTGGTGTTGGGTCTTTAGAGTCGGCTGTGGTTTCGGGTATTCCGGACATACAAAAATACCCTTGGCAGAGGTCCTATGACATGGTCCCTTTGATGGGTGTTTAACGAATAATGCACGGGACAGGGCTCGGAGGTTCGTGGTCCCTCAAGCCCAGTAAGCCCCTGGCCGTACAAACCCCTTCTGCAGGAACAGCCGTGCCTCAAAGGGCATGAATGTCCATCACGGCTCTATGTTATTCTATACTCTATGAGCTTGAACCTCTTAGAGCCTTTGAAGCTTAAGCCCTGTAACTATCAACCCTACACCGGAGGAACTTGACAGTAACACCACGAAAAAATAAACTCAACCCTACCCAATAATCAGGTACTTGCTAAAAAACTGCTGGCAATGTAAGTGGGTGCAGCATATGCTATTCGATACCAGGACCATCGGATACATGTTGCAGATCTCAGAAGGAACCCTTGTAAGACCAGTCTCTAGAACCGTATTGAAAGCATATCGACACATCTTATGACTCATAACCCTAACCCTAAGCCTGAGACCTTAAGCCCTAAACCCTAAACCTTAAACCCTAAACCCGAAACCTTAAACCCTAAACCCTAAACCCTAAACCTTAAACCCTAAACCCTGAACCCTAAACCCCTATACCCTAAACCTTAA